TCAGTCACATCCAGACCTCCCCTAACCCTCACCAGGCAGATGCAGAGGGGTACCTCTGGCCATGGGACATGAGTACTAACACTACCTTGGAATGCACACCAAGAAGGCAGGTACTGGATGCCTCTCCACAGGCACACAGAAGCACAGCACACTGTGCTCCTCTGCAGTCTCTCAGATCTCCAGCTGCATGATGAGCTTGGAGAGTATATAGAGGATTTTTTTTTTTTTTTTTTTTTTAAACAAAGCAGCATCTTCAGGAAAACTGAGGTAACTTATCATTACCTCTCAGCTCATTCACTCTTCCTTTCACTGTGAAAAACAGCAATGTTAAAGATTCCCAGTTAACAAGTAACTGGAGGCAAACCACAAACCACTGGCACACATGGCTGAAGTTCTGGTACAGAACCAGGCTTCTATATACAGCAGTACAGTGGATTTTAGCTAATCATTGTGCTTCTGAATTAGTGCAACACACCAGACCAAGCAGGTTTACTGTGTTAGAAGCCAAGAGTTCGCCTTAAAGGAGATTTTTTGAGAATAGAACAGCACTTCCTACACAGTCACTCTGACTGTAAAACAAAAAGACCTGGCTTTAACCTCACTGGAAATCTATGCTGCAAATGCCCAGTTTGCCATAAATATCATAGCCATGTAAGGACTGTCAGTATAACCACACTTGCAAATAGTTCCTTACAGATACCTGGCATACCTTCCTGGATCTGCTGCAAACAGACCTTTGAGGCAGCAGGAGGAAAAGGCAGAACATGGGCACTGCAACCTGCTCAGATGGAAGCAGCTGCAACACTGCAAGCACACTCTTCCCCCTTCTTTCTACTTCCCTCTCCATCAAAGCTGGTCATTTTTTATTTGTGATCTCAAAGCTTTCCATCCGCTTTAACATTCGAGTGCAGGAAGGAAGATGAGCAAACTTACTCTTAAATAAATCTCATTTCTGATTGGCTTTATAGGCGTGAATGTAGAAGCTAAACAGTACTTAATGTTACCTGCGTCAGTAGCCTTATTTCTGAAATTCTTCTCTCCTACTCCAATGTCTGCATATAGGTAAAGCCTTTCCTGTATCAAAGCATTGGGAAATTGGAAACTGGGGAAGGAAGATTTCATTTAAAACTTGAAATCTGGAGGCATCCCAGCAAAAAAACACATAGTAGATTGAGTGTTTCCTAAACCAGAAGATGTTTATATACACAGATTTGAAGGGGCTGCCTTCCCATCCCAACCTGAGGAACAAATGCTGAAGGAAATACTTCACCTTTATGATAGGTGTTACAGGCTTGCAACATTTTAAATAGTGGGGAAAGACTACAAGAATGACATAGGGCACAAAAGCAGGAAAGTGGGATTCAAACCAACCAAAAATCAGGCAGGCATTTTAGCCAGATGGCACTTATTCTTCCCATTAGGCTGATGTACTAACGCCAAGCATGGGCACTGTGGTAGCAGATGGGAATCACACAGCTTTGTTTGTATTTGGGACCTGCTGAAAGGGGAGCCATGCAATTAAGCAGGGAATATCTACTCCAAGCCAAAGCAGTGCGTACTTTTTTTGAGTCCTACTCTACACAGCTTGGTGAGAATTACTGCTAAAATCAAACAGATCTCAGGAATCACAAGACAGGACTGAGACTTTGCTTCAGAGACACACAGCAAAAATGTTACCTTTCATTCAAGCACTAAACTCTTCTCATGTTCACACAAGCACTACACTTTGTGCCTTTCCTATGAGAGTGGTGAGGTGCTGGAACAGGCTGCTTAGAGAGGTTGTGGATGCCCCATCCCTGGAGGTGCTCAAGGCCAGAATGGATGGGGCCCTGGGCAGCCTGGTCTAGTATTGAATGGGGAGGTTGGTGGCCCTACATCTGGCAGGGGGTTGGAGATTCATGATCCTTGAGGTCCCTTTCGACTCAGGCCATTCTGTGATTCTGTGCCTTCTACTTACTACCTCAAAGATTTGCTAATAGGAGTTTCTATTTCATGCAGAATTCCTTCTACTGTCAGAACTCCTATCGGTTTGCTAGTAAAAGTAATTCAGTAAATAATCCAGCCCACTACTTGATTTTACATCTACCAAATAGCATCTGAATGCACTAAACAAGCAACACTTATTTGTGTTGCCGTAGCATTTTCCAAAGGTCTCCAAACTCTTTACAAACACTGACTAATGAATCAGGCAATATTTATCTAACTGCCTGGCAAACACAGATACACCTCCTTTTAACAGCAGGAATGAATCGCAGTAACTCAATGGCCAAGTTGAGAACCACTGCTCTCCAGAAGACCAATCCATCTCTCAAGTCCAGCCTCTGTCCCAGCCTGCAGACCCAAGCAAGCCAAAACATGGGCTGAAAGTACTGTTGAGATTTAACAATGAATAGTGATTTCCATCAGAGCAGCACTATGTTTTTTGTCCCATAAAATAAGGGAGGAGGGGGGATTACAAGGAAAACAAAGAAAAACCCAAACCTACAGCCAATAAAGAATAGGAGTGCTGTTGTCACTGCCACAGGGAGCAGACACAAACCACAGCTCCAAACAGCACAGCAGCCTTGCCAGTGCTTGGATCTGACAGCAAACAAGTCTGCTGCAGTGGGATGTGCAGAATAAAGCCAAAGTTCCCCGCTAAACATTACTGCCAAACTAGCCATTGCTTATCAATATTTGTGAAACAAATTGAGCTTGTGTTGTAAATATCCCGGCATCTGTGTGCTGTTTGTTTCAGTATGAAGGGTTGCAAATAAGCCTCACAGCATACTTGTGCTAGGAGAATGGCCTGAGAGCGTCTGGCAGCTCTCAGCTGTTCCCAGTGCCTACAAACAGCCCTCTGTGACCAGTGACAGACAGCACTCCTGCATCCTCACATTATCATTGCAGCAGTTTGCAGCCACCTGTATTAGAAAAAAGAAAGCTATAAGGGAAAAAAAAAAGTCAAGGAAAAAAAAGTTTTAAAGTCATCTCAGCACTAAGAGATTGATTTCCAGAGTGCTCTGTAGGCCTAACAAGTAAATCAACCATAAAACTTGGTCAGGCTCAAGTACAAGGTCCCTCATGTGCACCATGGCATCCTCTGTCACAAGCCAGCCTGCCAGCTCCATGGGACAGGCTCCAGGTGAGAACACCTCTCCACAGGAAGCAAGGACAGAAGAAAAGCCTCTGATAAAAACCCAGCCACAGCTGGACAGGCCATCTATTTCTTCCAGCCTCTTCCCTTCTGAGCGATCCAAAAATACACTGCTCAACCCTGCAAGAGAGAGCTGCATCTACTGTCATGTTCACTGCGCCCTGTTCACAGGCTAGCCCTCAGCAAGAGGAAATATGGTTGGGATACTATAAAGCACATTTTGGGAACGTATGAGGTTTTTCTTACACCTTAGAAGCTCTTATGGCATGACCATCAACAGGCTGCCCCCACTGTCAGGGAACAACTCACCTTTCCTTAAGGACAGGAAGCTCCTCTTAGTAGTTCCCCATCCTGGTAAGACAGGAGGCACAAGGACCAAGCTACTTATGAAATGTATTAAAGCATTCCTGGAGGAGACTTTAAATATATCAAGTCACTTCCTTAAAGACTGTTTTAGATGAAAACATTTATAAAGAAAGAAAGGGGAAAGCATATCAGAGTTTGAGTAATCGAGTTGATTTTACAGCAAAAACGAGCAATGCATTACCCTCCCCATCACCATCACTTACAAGCTCAGGAACATAGGCTGAACTGTTAAGTGCCAACACTTTCTGGATTTCAGATGGAAGCCTTCCACATTGAATCTTTCCTTCCTCAACCCAGAACTGAAGTAAATCCTGGAGATTTATTGCAAGCTATTGGTTATTGCTTAGTTGCATTACAGCAGCATTTTGAAGGGCCAAATGGCCTCATCGTTCAGCAGCTGTACACACACGCCACGCGCACACGCAGAATAAGAACCTCACAGCACAGAGGTGGCCTGAAACAAAGAGGAAATGGTCATAAAAGCATCTGGTAGGAAACTAAAGCCAAGAACCTGGTCCAGTACCCTATTCACTAGTGCTCATTACCAACACCACCAATAAGTTGTCTAGCGGCACTTTTGTTAGAAAAGGAGCCTGGTCTTCAGAGATCTGCCAGGTCTCCACGCGACTTTCTCCTCTTTAGTGTCAAGGCATTATTTGCTGGCTATTTGGCAGGCGGAAACAGGTGCAAACTATGATTCACCAGCAACTCACTCTGGGTCACTACCTGATGGATGGAGACCAGCTCCAAAATCAGCTTTGAAAGGAATGATGATTTTGCAGAGACGACAGATTTGTGCACAGTGCACAATTTGTTCGTTCCACGGCAATCCACCCAAACACGAAGGAAGCCAGCAAGCTGTTCCTCTGCAGCTCAGGGAAGGAAATTTGCCACCTGTAGGCAAAGTTGCAGATGCAGAGAAGCTCTATGGTACATAAACTAAAGGTAACATGTTATTGGGTAGACCCACACCAGAGGCTTTCAGATCTGCAAACCACAAAGCACAACCTACAAGCACAGAGGAAGCTCTTTAGAAGAAAGCACATTTTCCTGAGAAACAGAAATGGGTGGGCACTTCAAAATCAACCAGCCCTATTGCACATGCAACATCTGCTGTCCGAGCAGAACTGTGCTGCCCTCCAGCTGAGCCATAACATGTGGGATTCTTCCTCACCCTGTTTGTGGGAAAGCTGCAGCAGTGTTTCCATGCTATGTGGCCCCCATGAAAGGCAACGCCATAGCTGAGGTCTCCAGCTTTGGGCTGGAAACACATTGTCACAAAAGCAACAAACAGCCGTAGGGGAAAAACAATCCCCCACCAACTGCACAAAGGAAGAACAAAGGTGGTAAGATGCAGGTTCCCTGTGGTTATAAAGAAACTGTACAGAGCGATGTGCATTCAGCTACAGGCAACAAGTTTCAGAGCTACCAAAAGAGCTAAATACAAGTCAAAAGGGAGTGGGGGCAGAGTGGGAATAAAAAACAACAAATCACATACCCACAGTCTATCCAGCTTATAGTACCTCGTCCTTTCACCTCCTGGGCCACATTAGACAGTAACCTGAGTGAGCTTTCTGCAGCAGCAGCTGGAAGAAAAAAAAAAAGTCACCAACAGCATTATTACTCCACAGAGAAGAATACAATGGTGCATTCCTTTGTTCTGAAGCACTGGAACTACTTCTCTAATCCGAAGAGACTGCTAAGAGAGGGATCAGCAAAATCTTCTGTAAACCAGAAGAAACGCTGGCTACAGCTACAGCATTCCCATCTCACTCCCCCTTAACATTCAAACTCATACCTCCATGCATTCCTTGACCTACATCTATAGAGCAACACTGTCTTCTCTTCTGCAAACCAGTTTCTATCCAACACTGCTTTTTTCCCATGGCTCTGCACAAACTGGTTTGCGCCACTGCTTGCTAATTAGAGCATTTAATTAAGAACTTCCATCAGCTGTAAGGGCAAGTCATTCAGCATCTCTTCCTGCCTCAGTCCCACTCCTGTAATACTTACTAATAGCAGGCTGTTATTCTCATCTTAACCATGGGAGACAGCCAAACCAGTGGTTGGGGGGGGCTCAAAACTATGAGCAGAAAGCAACCAGAAAAGCTTCTTTCAAGAATTGGCTGCACACTCTAGTGAGATTTTTATAATGGCCACGCCACGTGTGAAGTTTTTGCAAAACATTTCCATTCCAAAGCACTCTCATAAATAGTATTAAAAATAAACAGAGAAGAAAAATGGAATGAGCACTCAAGAAAGAAAAAAGAGACTCAAATACCAACTCCCCACACAGTCTCTAATGAAGACTGTTCCCTGCCTCAATAAACAAAGGATAGAAATCCTTGAACTACTTTACCTTTTGCAGTTTCACAACTAGATCAACTAATGGAGTGGGTATACTGGGTTAGATCAAACGTCTACGTAAACCAATATCTTGTCTCCAAGAGTGAGGAAAGTGAAGGCGCCTATGACCAGAGGTAGACCCAGCAGATAGTGATAGTTCTGTTTCCTTCAAGTCATTTCTAGTTTTTAGAAATTTTTATCCCAAGGCTCCTGGGGCAGAAGTAGCTTCCTTGTATTCAACAGCCTCTGTGGGCCTCAATGCCATCAGAGCCTCCAGCCCATTCCTGTTGGCTCAAGAAAATCCTACCCCAAGGTGCTGATAATGCACAGCTGTGGCAGTGCACAACAGCCACCACTCCACTACACAGGGACATGGATTCAAGGGGGAATTCTTCATGCACTCATAGCACAACAGCTCAATAAGATTCCTTTAAAGAGGGCAAATGAACGTAAGAGTTTGGGGCTGGACAGACACTTTCCATAAGTCTCACTAGTTGGGCAGCCATGGCAGGACATCCAGCTGGTAAGATGAACTAGATGTCCCCTCTAAGTGAGGATATTTCCCGAAACCAACACATTTTCTGCATGAGATAGGAATGTTCATCCAGTCATACTCCACCGAGAAGCAAAGCCTTGTTTCAGCAGTATGACCAGTTGTTGGCCAATGGCTCATCACAGCTAGAGGGTATGTATCTGGGATTAAAGGTTCCTATCTCTGTATTCTCATCTTCATTTCCCCTCCCCTTTTTTCTTAACTGGGTGACAGTTATGCAAGAGCTTTCTAATTGTGCAAGGATCACTGTGCGAGGGAGAAACATCAATCCAACTGCCAGCTCTGCATGCAGTGCTTCAGACTGCTAAAACCAACCAATTAAATAATAAAAACAGAAAAAAGAAATCTCAACAACACACTTTTTGAACAATGCCCATAGGGCAACATTTATTTGATGAATGTCAGAGCCAAAGTGCTCTGGTTGTGCTACTAAAAAAAATCAAAGCAACCACCACTTATAGTATTAAGCGTAAAAAGAAAATTTTCCCTTTAAAAAGCTGAATACAGATGTCTTTTTTTTTTCTTAATTTAAAGCATTCCTTTCAAAAAAATCACTGTTCAAAACTCTTTTCTGATTTTACTTTGAACCTGTTACTGAAAAACCATTTGTCCACTTTTTAGTCCTCAGAATTTCCCATTAGAACAAAATGCAAATACTTCAACCAAAATTGTCACGTCTGTCATTTTAACTGTCACAGAATAAGCCCATCTCTAGGAAACAAAGTTAATTATCCCAGCATCCACACATTTTTGTCTGCAAAATTCTGATATTGGGGGTGGGGTTGGGTTCCCACATACAGCTCTGGTTTGCCATGCTTTAAACCCAGAGCGATCCTCCTGATGTCACTGTCTATGTCTAAGCTAAAACCTTTGCCACAGGCAAGAAAGGGAGGATGCAACCCCCAAGTAAAACTTAACCTTGTACCACTTGTCCAAGAGGAAAGAAAACAAAGCAACAACAAAATAACAATACACCCAAACAGTACGAAGAAAATCAACTCAGCAATGGGTTTTTCTTCCTGCTCTCCAATGTCTTGCATGGGCACAACAGCATCCTGAAGTTGTGCACGGAGCTTCAAGATTGCTTCTTCATTTTCTACGGTGCCACAAATAAATAGCACAGAAAAAAAAACATCAAAACAAGTGAGGTGACAAAGGTAAAGAAGGAACAGAACACAGCAAAAGAAAGAGCAAACAGACAGATATAAGCAAGAGTGAACAACTAGGGAAGCCTGAATGAGAGAGAAGACAGCAAAGAGATTCAAGGGGGCAGGTGGCATGATGTGAAGTGAGCCATTTTCTCCCTCTTACACAAGCAGCTCATTTTTTATTTCTATATTTTGTTCATTAGAGTTGAAAGACAACCGTGGGACATCCAAAGCTGTCAAAAGCAAAGACAGGCTGATTTCAGAACTATAACTATTCATTAAGCCTTTCAGTGCCACCAGCAAATCAAAACTCGCCAACTACTGCGATAAGCACACCGGCAAGCTCTGACTGATAGCTTTTATGAGCAGCCATTTTTTGGACACAAAGCCAGAAGGTATATTTTCACCAGTGACAGAGCAATTAAAAGATCAAATTAAGAAACCCCCTCTATCTTGAGACATCAGGAGTCTCTGCAATAGAACTAAGGACACCACTCCTAAAGAAGCCCTTGTGCTGCACCTTGCAGTCACATAAGGTAACAACACAGAGCAAACAGTGAGGACAAAGAGCTCAGTCATTTGAGTAGAACACACGGATATCCACAAACACACCCACTCTATTGAGCTGAAAGACCTGGGTCATTCAGGAGGAAAGGAACTCACCAGATTTAGAATACAGCACTAGTATGTTGTTTCGTGTCCTGAGAAGCTTCTTAAAATCCTTGTGGTCACTTATTTTTTCTATGAGAGGAGACAATTTCAATGAGTACCCAAACGCCAGCAGGAATGCCTACAGAAAAAAAAAAGCCAGAAACATTAGGAATAGTTTCCACACCGAGAAATAAAACACAAACTGCTCTTGAAATTGCCTTGATCTGTTTCACAATCTTGAGATGTACTGCCATAAATAAACTATTGTGTTGATGTGACCAGCAAAACAAATGAACAGAAGAAGTCATAACCATGATTTACTGAAATTGGACCAATACTGCTCCCAGTAAGCAATCTCAGGTGGAAAGATGAGGTAAACTTAACATCCAGAAATGCGTTTACAGTTAAGTCATTGCCTTTAGAAGTTTGTTCTTTTAATTAGATAAAAATTCCTACATAAATTTAATATATTATAACAAGAGATGCAGCAAAATACCACTTTGAAAGCCCTCCTGTCCTGGTTCTCTGAATCCTCTGAAAACCCAGTGGAACATGTCCATACCCTGCAGAAGGCAGCAAGAGCCATGCAGTTAAATAACTAACCCAAGCTGACACAGAGGAGATGAAGGAAAAAGGCAGAATTTCTAAGCAACTGTGTCTGCATTAAGAAGCACAGCCCTCTCCCAGCCACACTCCTCCAGGGGATGAGGGCTCAGCTCCCCACCAGCCACACCACATCCCAGTGCCTTTGCCACAAGATTGGGCTTGGCTTCCACCAACCATGCATCCACTGTCCTCACAGGCACATCTTTTGGTCTCTCTGCATCCAGGCAAAGAAATCACTTCTTTTGTGACATCTTCTAGCTTACTTAAAATCACAGCTGCTCCACAGCAGAATTTGTCTTTTACTCTACCATAAAGTAAAACTAGCAAAACACGGCCATAACCTTGCTGGAGCCTCCAGTGCTTGTATGTGCTGCAATAATCTTCAATAAAAATAATAATCTTATCCATAAGGCTACGCCGCCTCCCTTCTGCACAGTAATGAATTCATACTAATGGAATGATTATGGGAAGCTTAGCCGGAGAAATTATCTAGTTTACATTCACCTTACAGTAAAACCTTAACACTTAATTGCTGGGCTAAAAGCTTTCATTCATTTGCCAAACACACACAAGATGTTCCGCATCTCCTTAATTACAGGACTAATTTTGATCAGGTCTCATTCCAGCTGGGTTGTAAAACTTAGGTCCAGGGTGGATGGGAAGAAGCAGGGCCCCGTCCCTCACACCCCGTGTGCTACAGATTGCAGCATTCAAAACAAGGCACTCAGCCAACCCAACTCAGAGGATGCAGCCCCAGGCATTGTTTCATTACAAAGCCAATCATCTGCTAACACCATGTCAATGAGGCACCTCTGAAACACAGTTTGAAAGAACCAGAAGCTTTTTCACATGTGGAACAAGGAGGTACATGGAAACAGCTGAATTGGAAGGGCTGCCATCCTCAAAGCAACCTCAGGACATGCTTAGGAAAAGCTGCTAGAAGATACACCTGCAATGTACAACGCAAAAGTACAACAGGCGGCACAGGCTTAGGGCAAACAGGCCAACCCACTGCATAGCACTGCTCCATCAAATCCCAATGCTTTATGTCATCTGACATGCTCATTCCTCCAAACCCAGCTGTCCAGAGCTCAACCTTTCTCCTTCAGGCTGATGAATGTGAATCACTTGTGTATTTAGTGAGGTAAATACACAGTGCTGCCAATCAATGCTGACAAACACAGTTGTGCGAGGCGAGGTGACACAGGCATTCAAATTCCTGCTTAAAACTCATTGCAGTCAGGAGCTGTACAGGGAGGATTAATCTAACATGGCTTTATGAGCACATCTCTTTAATCCCAAATATTTTTTAAACACTTTCCCCACAACTTTGTGCAATCATTCAAGTATCCTACTGTTTTATTTCTATCTTCAGTTACAGGAGGCTAAACTCAACCAGCACTGAAAGCAGGGGAAAAGCAAAACTGTAGCCTGTTCCCTTGGTTTAGAAACCTGCAGTTAAATCAGAAGTAGGTCTGAACTCACTGCTGATAAGAAAGAATTGGAATTAAAAAAACAACGCACAAAAGCCACTTTCAATATGACACCACACAGTATCACGAACTTAGCTTAAAGCATCCGTAGAGTTCCACTCATAGTTTGAATGCACATGTATCTCACGTCTCTTCCAGATGGAAAGGCTGTTTAGGCCATTTCAGAAGGTTTTTTTGCTGTTGTTATAATGGCAGAGCTATAAACCTTTTGAAAAATTGGATTCTGGAAACAGTGACAGCTCTAACTACTGCCTGGCCTGCGTTGCCACAGAGAGAAAGCACGCCGTGCTGGTGGAACTGCAGCACTTCAAGGGAAAAGCACAACACGTTGCAAAGATGCACTGTTATCTCACCCCATTTCTCCCTGGGTACCACAGCAATGCTGATACTGCTGTAGTCTGCCTGCAGCACCCCTCTCTGATGCTCCAGCTCGGATCAGAAAGGCACCACATACAAGCACGTCTATCAGCCCCACTCAATAAATCATCATTTCCCTTTAATTAAGATTAACGTTCCAGCCTTTTTTTTGTCATAAAACCCAATCTGATCTGAGCCAGTAGCACCAGCAGGGCAGCAATGCCCTGGCTGCCACCTCAGGCAGCAGCACAGCACCAGGAGGTTATCAGCTGCACCGATGAGTTCACGCCTTCCAGCCAGCGTTTGCATTGCGCTGTGTTTGCAAAATGATAAGAATTCAGTAGTTCTGTGCTCTCTGGCTTTCTCCTGCAGAAATGAATGAGGGCACACTGCTTTTTCTTTAAATCCAGGGCATGAGAGGAGATGAGCTCCGATTAAAAAAAGATGTCATGGAAGATGTCTGGAAGCAACCTCCTGCCCAGGAAGAACAGACACATCACACCAATAGAGAAAGGAGCTAAAGCCTCTTGTCACTTGTGCATCCTAAAGGTTTAAAACCTGTTCACAACCACCGTGGAACAGCTAAGGAAGACTCCAAATGCTTTACCTAAAAGGTGAATGAGAAGCTGCTTCCCTCGGCAGCCTTCAAAGCAGAAGGCATACAAGGACCACACCAACGCCTGCACCATCCCTCTTTGAGAGGGCTCTGCTGATCAGGAACTGCAGTAAAACTGGGGGATGATCTGTTCTATTTCATGCTGTGTTTGCACACTGCCCAGCAGAACGGGTCCTCCCAAGGCTGCTCTGCAAGCTGCACCTGACACAGCCATCACTCCCACAGCCTAAGGTGCAGGGGACTTTGGTGAAGACCTTCAGAAAAAGCATACACAACACAGACTGCAAAATGCAAACCTGGAGCACTTCTCATCTGTGTAGCTCCCCCAGCTCATGAGCTGAATGGGAATTTATTTTCACAGTGCTGCTCTGTGTAGGTCGCACGTCACTCACAGGATCGCAGAGTCTGATCTGAGATGCATCATGGATTCTCAGGTAAAACACAGGTGAACCAAATCCCTCAAGACAGCCAATTCAAACCTGCTGGGAGATGCTGCTGTTTGAATACAAGGTACAAAACACGTGCTCTGCCTCTGCTCTTCAAATCAAAGCCCGTATTTAAATACATAATCTTGCAAGCTAGGTGGAAGAAGTCAGAAAGGTTTAATTTTCTCTTTTCTTCCCCCGCTCCCCAGCAATTCCTTGCAGAGCTGCTGAGCACACGCATGTGTTACCAACAGCCAGGCACTCCACAGCCCCACTGTTAGAGCTGCACCTGAGACAAACCTGAGTCTTCAGAAACCCAGAGGCAAAGAGAGCTACAGGCAGATAACTATTTGCTAATTATACAGCCAGGACTGACACTATTGAAAACATGGTCATCACTCAGGCCCTGTTTTCTGCAAATCACCAAGGACCCAAGAAAGCAGTTTACTCCCCGACTTGTTACTCTTCTCTGAATCTCATTTCAGAATGAAAAATGGGAGTATTTTTTAAGCCGACACAAGAACACATTTTCATATTTTACATTTATTATTCAAATTAAAAGGAATAAACATTCCATTCCCACAGAACCTCAACCTTAATTCTCACCTCAATTCACAATTTGCTGCCCACAAAAACTGCACAACAGCATGGACTCCTGCTATGGACAAGCAGTGTGGCAGGAGGAGAAGTTTGCATCAAGGACAATGGAAATACAGTTTTAAAAACAAGAAAATACAAACCCAAGTCCAGTAAGGAGGAACCATCAGAGGAGTAGAATTGCAAAACTGACAGAAAAAACTATTTCCTATTCTATCGTTTCCAGTTCAAGAGCATGAAATATGCATTTCCCTGGACACAAATTATGCTTAAAAAATACAAAGGGGTACGTGGCTGAAACACTGCTTAAGTGCCTGAATCCATATGTCAACATGCAATTTTTATGCGTGCACTAACACTTGCATGTATAATTAGGGAGACAATTTGCACACCATTCATCAGGAATAGCATGGGTGATGTGAACGGTGCTGATTGCAGCTCAACTGCTGCTCGGCAGGAACACAGCCACAATTCCAAATGCCTGTCCTCCAGCAACATATTGACTTTGAGTTCTGTCTTAGCTTAATCGCCCACTGATGTCATTTTCATTTTGGGACAACAGTGTTCAACCCACTGCAAATATGGTCAAAGAGTGACCCTGTGCATATGAAACAGATTGTGTCTGACAAGGCATTTTATGGGAATTTAGCTGAAGACCAAACCTGCCTCGGAATTTCAAGCAGCAGTGCAGATCACAGAATTTAATTTCATAATTGATTTCTTTCAGAGGGGAGAAGTTCACATTCTAAAAAGATGTCTTGCCTGATACATTAAAGTGAGGAAGCAAAAAAAAAAAAAAAAAGCAACAAATCCCAATAACAAGACCAGACTTCACTTTTCCTTTCCTGCTCAGTCCCCAAAACAAACCCGCAGCAAAGCACACACTTTGCTCCAGAATATGAGTTTGAAGGAATATCCCTATGCTGTGGGATGCTGCTCAGTGAGCCTGCAGACAAGCCAGGGGCACAGGCAGGTCCCAGGGTGCAGCAGTGCACCAGCCACCTCCAGGTGAGAGGAGGGGCACAGACACGGTGCTCCCTTCCCCCCAATTTGTTCTAGCTTAAAAATACAAGATGTTCAAATCCAAAGCTCTCTTGTTTACAAGAATCACTGTTTGACTGCAGATGTTTTATCTTCCTTTTTCATCACACCAGCCACTCTTGACCTTGTGCAATAATTGCTTGCTTTTCACTCAAGTCCTCCCTCTGCTGCTATTTACATTCAGGGCTGTGCTGCTTTGATCACTGAGCCATTTGTAACAAACGTCTTCCACGATAGATAGTGAGATGTAGGACAGTCCCCTGTTTTCATTCATGATTACTATCCAAAATAGCTGCAAAAATGTTTTAATCAAATCAGATGAGTGGAAACAGCATTATCTCTGTTACCCAAAGGGACCAGGAGACCCTGGTACCTTAAGCACCAGCACACTGCAGAGAAGTGCTGGATGTCCCATCCCTGGAGACACTCAAGGTAGGTCTGGACGGGGCTCTGAGCACCTGATGGAGCTGTAGGGGTCCCTGCTCATTGCTGGGGGGTAGGACCAGATGGCCTTTAAACATCTCTTCCAATTCAAATTGTGGATTTGAGCAACCTGGACTAGAGGGAGGTGTCCCTGCCTACAGCAGGGGGTTGGAACTAGATGATCTTAAGGGTCTCTGCTAACAAAATCATTCTACGATTCTGTGATTTATTATTCGAAGGAAGGGGAAGAGAATGGGTAATGAGCTACATGGAAAAATACATTCTAATTCTGTATATAATCCAGACCAATTAATTCTCACCTCAAATCATGCAAGGAATAAAATACTAAAAACAAAAGAACTGCCAGCACTTCACTGTGATGGGTCATATACGAAAGAGACAAGCATCCCATCCTCTTCTGTTCACCAAGGCAGGCAAATCAAAATCCTGACAGAATAGCTTCATATTCTTTAAACTTAGCCTGAAAAATGCAACAAATAAAGCATTCAACTTGATGCAGCACTAGCTATGTTCACTTTCCAAATATAGAAGACAGCGAAAATACCATGGCGACGTCAAGATTTGCCTAGTCTCTACTGTTCATATTGTTCTTAAACACTGGGTTTTAAGGAACAGAAGCTACAGGCATAATAGCCTGTACTAAAGGTGGTTCCAAAGCACTGCATAGCCAAGTAATTGTATGGTTTATCAACGGTTTTCAAATGCTTAGTGAGGGGAAAAAAAGGCAACTATTTGCTAATTAACAACCGACTGTAATAGGGTCAATTACTAATGCTGACAAAGAACTTTCTCCTTATTAAGGATGTGCAGCTCACTCTCTCCAAGCCAAGCATCACTGCAAAACAAGCTGCTGGTGAAGGACCGTGTCAGATGCTGCTTCTCAACACACACACTGGAATAGCTTCAGAAACTCAGGGCACGAAAAGAGCACGGCCCACACAACCCCCCACTAAAAACTGGGTTTGAAGAAGTTTAAGGAACTATCACCCATCACAAGAAGCATGTAGGAGAGACTATAAAAAGACGACAAAACCACCATTAATGGGACTTACGAAGAAGAGAGGGCAAAAAAAAAAAAAAAGTGACATCTGAAAATCCTTAGCACTTCATACAGCAATCGTTATCTTCAAAGCACTGCACAAATATTAACTAATTAATCCTCACATTTTTCTGCCAGGTGAGAAGCAAATAAGCTTAACTTCTACAGCAGGAGCAGGATTCATGGAGAAAAGCAGAGCTCAGTGAGAGGCAAAGCAGAGGCAGTGCCTGCATGAGCCATTGATCCCAGAGCAGCTCACTGTGTCCTGAGTGCTGGAAGTGAAGGGAGAGACAGGTTGACTGCAATCACCCCAGGAACTACAAAGAAAGGTCTAATTACCCCCTATTTTACTGAAATCATAGAATCAGTAAGGTTGGGAAAGACCACTAAGATCACTGAGTCCAACTGCCAGCCCTTCCCCACATCCCTCAGTGCCACATCTACAAACTTCTTGGAGCACCTCCAGGGACAGTGACTCCACCACTTCAAGGAACAACAACACTGAAAAGCAAATATAAATGGTCAATAACAGAGCAACGTCCACAGCTGATTGCTCATGGTGTTGTGAGCACAGTTCTGGGCAGAATCATCACTCCTGATGATCACACCACACTTGTGGCCATGTCCCAGCTCTTCTAAAGGGAATTTCAGCTCAAACGCCATTAGATTCAACATATCATTCCATAAGGCCTGCACACCTGCCAAAGGGCCACACTGCAGAGTTGCCTGCAACAGGGAGCCCACCCAGCCCCCATGAGCCAGGATCCAGGAACTCATATCCCTACCCAGCACTGCACAGCAGTGACATTATCAGGGACTTGCTGACTCTGGGAGCTGGAAGCCTGAAATGTTTAAAGCCTTTCTCTGAAGTACAGCATTCAAGCAGCACCAGGTCAAGCAGCCTCATGCTTCCTGAAAGTGTAAGCTGGCCAAGCTCTCTTGACTCAGTTTCCCTATCACTAAACCAACAGGTGAAGGATTAACCAATCTTTGCCATGCTGGGCCCAGATAACACTTGTGTTTGCATGGCAAACGTGTCCCGGGTGTGTCATCCTGCTGGGCTCTGTTTGGGAAGGGACAGCACCTGACCCCCCAACGGCAATTTCACTCCCTCCCCGTGCCTCCAACAGTAAGCCTGGTCCTTCAAGCACAGGGTCTGGTCAACCGCTCACTCAACCCAACAGGGAAGTACCCAAACCACTGCTTCCCTACAACTCCAGCTCATTCGAGAAATAAATCAGAGATCAGCACAGCATCTCCCTTGAGCGTGCACCATGAATCTGCAATGATGCAGGAGACCACCAAGCATCTTCCCTAAGGAGATCCCAAAGCATTCTGTCCACCCAGCTCGCAGCTTTCCTTGCACAAACACAGGAAGTCCCACAGAGATAAGGATTTCAATGCACGGAAGCTGCCTCCAGTTTGGGGTTCTGCCCCTATTTTTCAGGAGCACTAAGCATGCACCTGGGATCGCAGCTCGAGCCACACATCTGGCGCTCTGCATTTCCAGGAGGAAAAAAAAAAACATAAATCACATTCAGGTACATAAAGAACCGTGTCAACCCAAACTGTAAACATCACGCAAGGCATGGCCAGGAGGAGACAATGCTCTCGTTACCCTCTGCCCCCAGCCAGCCGCATTGTTTTAACTCTGCACACTGAGAGCATCTCTGTCGTGCAGCCCCACTGGCTTTGCAAACATGGGCTCAAGGAAAACCCAAAGGCAGGTTTTGCAATGTCACAGCTGTCGGCTGCTTTTAATCCCGGCATACAGCGAGTTACATATTTCAAGATGAAAAATCACACCTTCAAGTGCAAGAGAATGCAAATTGGAAGAAATAATTTAAAGTACTTGTACACGGCAAAGGGGAAGGAATTAGCTGAATCAACAGCTCAATGGAGACATCTGCTCTGCACGCAGCATCACAGCACAAATAAAACGCCAGGGCAAATTAAGAAGGGGAAGAGAGAATAATGTGGATAAACGACAATGGCATCAGATAGTGCCACTGACAACGGCAGCTCACTCTGCTCAGCTCAAAGGCAACAGGTCTGCAACAGGAAAGATGCAAAGAAGGGCAACTAGAAGGGCTGGAAACAACACATCCACCTGCAGAAAGGCTTCTTTTGTCAGGAGGAAAAGTAGCTTCCAACGTACAAAGAGATCTCACAGAAAAATACCTGCATTAACACAGAACAAACGTTACAGTGGGAGAAGTCCCACAGCCTCAGCCGGCAGAATACAAATAACCCTCCACGCTCACCGCTTTAGAAGGAAGGGAAATCAGCCCCGGACCACAGCACACGCTTAATCCCCGAGCACGCTGCCCCGGGTCTCGCAAAGAGCCGCGTGTACGGAAGAGGCGCCCGAGGTGGGGAAGCCTCACGGCCACTCCGGCACTCGGGGGAGCTCAGCCCCAGCTCCGCTCCATGCCGGGACCCGAGCCTCCTCACGGCGCTCGGTGGTGCGGATGCCGCCGAAGCCGTGCAGCGTCACCTCGGCCGCGGCCACGCGTCCGCACTCGGGCTGTTCGAAGCAGGTCAGCGCTCCCAGATCGCGCGCATTTCAGATCCGGCGTGCGTAAGAAAATTAATGTAATTTGGCATTAATTATTAACTCCATCTGTCTAGGAAGAACTATAGTTCACGTCAGCCAAGTTGAAGGCGCCTTTCAAAGCGTTCAGCCGATGCTGGCAGCCGCTCACCGACACGCGGCCAGGGGAGCAGCGCCGGACCCGACCCGCAGCCGGGGCTCCCCGCGCCGGGACCGCTGCCGTCCCGCCCCGCAGCAGGAGCGGGGCTGCTGTACAGCTCGGCAGGGCGGGACGAGAGGGGCTGCTCTCTTTTCTCTCTGTTTTTTTTTTTCTAAGAGAAACGCAGGGCAGCAGGGCTGTGGAACACCTGGGAGAAAAGCCGCCCCGGCCGTGCGCTCCCCGCCCCGCCAAGCCCCGGCCAGGCGGCAGCACCGCCGCGCCCAGCCCCGGGCCCCGTCCCGCTCCCAACTTCGCCCAACTCCACCGGCCGCGCCCCGGGGCCGGGACGCGAGGCCGCCCCGCGGTCACCTCATCACTCCCCCGGTCCGACCGCCGCCACTCACCGTCAGCCCGAGCAGCAGCAGCGGGAACCGTCCGCGGCACCGCGCAACCCCGGCGCGCTGCCCCGGCACAGCCATCGCCGAGCACAGCGCTGCGGGCTGCGGCTGCCGCTGCCACGTCTGGCGGCGCACGCGCGCTCCGTCGCTCCCGCCCGGCCGCGCGGGGCATGCCGGGAGTTGTAGTCCGCCCCGCCGCCCCCGGGAGGGCTGCGGGAGTGCGTCCGGACAGCGGCCGCCATGGCGCGGGGGGTTGTGCCGTGAGCCTCCGCCTCAGTCCCAGCGTGTGCTGGGCTTACAGTCATGGAATCATCGAGGTTGGAAAAGACCTACTCCACCTCACCACAGCGCCCTTTCAGGGAGTTGTAGAGAACCATAGGGTCACCTCTGAGCTTCCTCCGCTCTGAACAATGCCGGTTCCCCCTGCCTTGCCTCATAGAACTGTGCTCCAGACCCTTCACAGCTCTGCGCCCATCTCCGGACACACTCCAGGACCTCACCTTGTGGTGAGGTGCCCAGAACTGAACACAGCACTCGAGCTGTGCCCTGACCGATGCACTATTGCTGATACAAGCCAGGATGCCATTGGCCCTCTTGGCCACCTGCGCACACAGCCGGCTCATGTTCAGCTGGCTGTTAATTAACACCCACAGATACTTTTCCTCTAGGCAGCTTTCCAGCCACTCTGTCCCAGGCCTGTAGCATTATGTGGGGTTATTGTGATCAAAATGCAGGGCTTGGCACCTGGTCTTGTTGAACCTCACACAACTGGCCTCAGCCCATCGATACAGCCTGTTCAGATCCCTCCATGTAGCCTTTGCTTCTGGCAAAGGGGTTGACGTGCTTTTGTCATACTCTTCAAAGATAACCGCTGGTTTTAGGTCTAAGGTGGGAGGTGAGGAAAGGGAGATGGGAGTTAATTAGAAGAGAAGCTTAGGAAGTGGGACTCTTAGGAAGTGACTGTTCTCTAGCCAGTTGTTCCTACATGCAAATGTTAAACCCTAAAGAAGAGCCCTGCAACCCTCCAGTACCAGACAGCAAGCAGTCAGACCACTGAGTCTGGATCCACCGACCCTAATCTGGATCAATGTCTGCAGCTCACAACAGGTCACTGTGTGCCTGGGCTGGGCACGTGCCACATGCCCGCTGCACCCCGTGGGCATCCCAGCCCTCCTGTTGTCCATCACAACCTGGTGGGACCCAATCTCCTGCCCAGTGCTGCATGGAGCTCTTCCTCACTGCAGCAACATCAAAGGGAAATCAAAGGTGTCTGTTGCAGTCTGATCCTGGCGGCTGGCTGTCACCTGAGCATTGTGCCACGAGGATGGCTTCAAGGGAGCAATTTGTAGATCCATGCAGCTGACTGATCGCTTCAAGCGGCGATCATGAAAACTGAATGCCACTGACATTAACAAGTCCCTCGGTAGAGATGTAATTTTGCAAAGCAGAAATGCACACAGAGAAAGTTATTACTGTTAAAGTTTACACTTTTGTGACATCTTTTGCAGTTGAATCTGTGTGCACTGTCCTTGGTCACAGCTGGATAACCTTCAGCAAGTCATTTCATGGAGCTGTGCGCTGCTTCCCACTTGCAGAAGGTCTGGGTTGGCCAACCTGCAAACAGAGCTGGCAATCCTCAGTCTCACTGTAATGCACTGCTGAGTATAGGCAAACAGCCCTGGAACCATCAGGAGTTCAGTATGAGGAAGGGTAGGCAGCCAGAGAGAGTCCTAGGAGAAGGAAGGAAAGGTGTAAGTTAGTGTAATTTTACAGTGGAAGGACTCAAGACAAAACATGCACTGCATCAGATGTCTGTATGTATACTGCTGCTTTTTGCCTGTAGTGTCTGCTGACTGTACTGGTGTTTCTGGCGCTGTGCTCCTCACTGCCAGAGCTGGTGCTTTCCCAGCTGAAATAACAGCCTACCAACAGCAGGCCACGGATCCCAAACTGCAGTCCATTTCAAACAAAGCCTCCAGGAAGAGGTCTCCTCTTCCAGATGCTGCTCACCTTCAGATCACCAGCCCAGAGCTCAAAGGTTTTTACAAACCACTATGCTGACTCAGCCAGACCTCTAATCTCAGCTGGATACCCAGGTCCTCAAAGGCTGTTTGAATCCTCCTGTGACTCTCATGTGAAGAAAACTGATACATCTTCTGACGCTTCACATGACAGTTACCAGTACCAGACAGTGCTAAAGTAACCCCAGGATAGTGGCTTTTCTGCACTGTATCATCACCATACAGGATGCACTGCCCTTGTGGCAGGAAAGAATAAAACTCTGGATCATCGTTGTTTTGTTGCAGGGTGCTTTTTTGTCATAATGGCAAGAGGAAATGATCTCAGGAAGAAAGTAAAAGAAAGACGAAAGACAAGGAAGATAAGCTTCTTGAAAGTGGGCTTCTGAAATATTACACGGAAAATTTTCACTTTGGGAAGCTACAATTCTTGTATACGGAAGAATATTAAAAGGGTATTCTTGTGACAACTACAGTTTCTTTCTTTCAGTTCAGCTTGATAATTTGTATTGACATGACACGCATTGCCTAAACTTAAAAGACAAAATCATTGAGCATCTGTCTTAGGTCAAAATAATATATCATGTATCAGCTCTGAACTGGGCTTTACACAGTGGCAACCACTTCATCAGTCCAGTCGTGCATTACTAATGAACTCATTACAGCAGTATCTCTGTGCACCACTATCCAGTCCCAAGTTTTACACTGTATCTATTTAGCATTAACATCATATGCTGCTTGCTTCTCCATGCTTTCAATATTTGTATATAGCACCTCAAGATGCTGTCAAAGCATCCATTAATTCACCACTGAGAAGCAAGAAAGCATTACTGCCCTTGGATTATAGATCAGAAAACAGTAGTGGAGAGATTATATGATTTGCCCAAGGCTATAAAACCAGACACTTTCAGATGAGGTTCATTTCCAAAAGTCTGCATTGGGACTGCTAATCCTTACTTGTCTGTCTATATTCAAATGCCTGTTTTACCAAGAATTAAATACAAAATGGACTGACACTAAGTATGTCTGCATCATATCACACCTTCCGTATTTTCTATATGTTTCTGCTTTATTTGACAAGATTTATTCTTTGTTCTCTTTTTAACCTGAGCAAGTCTCTAGCAGCCTCAAAATAAAGGTAAAATGAGTCACCTTTACCACAAAAAATGACAGCCAAACAGACAGGAAAAGACATGAGCACTTTGCAAGCCAAACTGAATCCGGGGGCACCCAGTGGTTTACACTGGGACCCCAAATCACATAGCATTTGCCCCATGTGAAAGCAGGATTCCCTTACTGCCTTAACTGCATCAAGGTCTCCTCCTTCCTTCCAGCACCATCTCTTTCTTTCTCAGTTCAGCTCCAGCCAACTGATTGTAATCTTTGGGCTTATCTCTTGTAAGTTTTGTGACATCTGTGTCATGGCACTGATTGCATCAGCTGAACATGCGAGCTGGTTGCCATCAACAGATTGATGGTATCAAAGCCCTGGGCTCCTCCTGACCTTTCCTACAGCTCTTCTGCACATGATGGAAAGGAAAAGAGACAGGACCAGCCCCTGTAGGATTTTACATGGGAGTGGTCTCGGAGAAGAGGCACAGCTGCACACTGCTTTTCTCCAGCAGACGTCTGTCAGAGGGGAGAGCCTGAAGGCAGCTTTCCACTCCTGCTGCCTCCTCAGCATCTGGTAGCAGGGCTGCAGATGAAGCGTATCCACACACTTCAGCTAACAAGTTATACAAAAGATCCTTAGCATGCCAGAAAGGAAAAAAAAAAAAAAAACAAAAAACAGACAGGAGGGTGCAGCTGTTATAGAGAGAATTGTTTCTTAGGCTGAACATTCCAGTTTCATACTTTTGCATAAATCTTTTTGAATGCTATTTTGTTAATGGTGAAAATGCATTGTGAATCTCTAGGGACTGCTTTCCGTAATTCTGCTGTAACATATCTGTGCTTTTCACCTGATTTGCTCTCTGCAGTGAATGGGAATGGCATGAAGGCAGATCAGGATGAGGTTTGGCTTGTAGGCTATGTGAACAGCATCCTGGTGCTCTGCAAGGATGCTGCTGTATGCAGCCATGTCACTCAGTGTTTTCATTTTCTGCATCATATCCCTTTACATCTCTGAGGTCTTGAAGGACTGTGTACTTTTTGTATAGACCTCGCACAGCACAAGGAAGAAATACACACATGCTGTGTGCTTTCATGGGAATTTTACTTTTGTACTATATTGTTGTTTCCTTCAGTCGAGAATCAAAGTACTTTTGGGTCACAGGTAGACAGATGCTCTTTATATATGAGGAAAAAAACAGTAGGTACTGCAGGAGTCAGTTAAAAGTAGAGTACAGATATTTTCCAAACTTTTCTTCCTGGGAATTTTCCATTACAGTTTTTATTGCTTTCTTTAGGTGTGCCCCTTTACATTTAAGAGGTCCTACCGTTAAGGACACTGTCGTTTCTTTCACTGAATCTCCAAAGCTGGATATAATGTGTTCCCGAGTACCGTAAAAACCTTCTGCAGCATGGGCACCTTGCTGGCTGGTAGTAGATAATTCATGTCTCTCAGTTACCTGCTGAGAGTGTAGTTTAAACAAGATTAAAACAACCATTGGAGTCTAGCTGTTATGCAGTGGCTACAGCACTCCAGCATGTTTCCAAACTGCTGCCATCGAGACAGCTTTCTAGGGATTTGCAGAAGCTTTGTATAACACTCACAGGCTGTTTTACCTTGAATGCATCATCAGGAAAGGGTTGAACAGCAAGCTTGTGAGGAGGGCAGAGATCTGAATCAGAATTCAGTGTGTAGGTAAACCACAGGTTTCATGCCTGAGGATTTGCTTTTTATAAGGTCTAGCATGGGCCAACATCTCTACCTGTGAAACAGAAATAGGTGTGTTGGTGGAGTTCAGGTAACACCCCTTGGATTGTGATGGTACCTGCGAACCCTAATAACAAGGCCCAGCTGGTTATTTTCAAACACTATTGGTCACTATTGCGCTGGCAAAATATTTGTCTTTACTGCAGGACTTCAGATACCCAGACTAACTCTGTTGCTCTGCTCAGGGGTAGACTCCCACCAAGGGTAGCAATGGGGAAGGAGATGGGGCTTCTTGTATGAGTAGAGCTATTATGCCTCTAGTCTGGGTTCACAAAATACTCATGCATACGAAGGACTAAATATAACGGTAGGACTGTAAAGATATGACCAAAATATTGTTTGGTGTAAAGCAGTGTTGAAGTTAGTGGCCTCAGTCTTCAGTAGATCTGCATCCATCTATGGTAGCTGAGCATCTGTCTCTATACTGAATCCAAAAATGCATTAGCATTCAGCCGTCAGCATATATGCAGACAATGTTCTACTAAAGTATTTTTCATACATCTATCCTGTGAGAATATATCCAATATATGCAATACATACATATTCAGTACTTTTCTCTCTCTGTATGTAGATAGATAATTTTATGTCTACTTTTTTACGCACATGCACACATATACGTGGCATATATTAAAGTAAGCAGATCCTTTGTCGCAATTTATATGATTATATATAAATACAGTCATTATCCAGTCAATATCAGTTTTCTTTCCTCCATTTTTTCAGCTTT